TGTGTGTGTGTGTGTGTGTGTGTGTGTGTGTAGCCATTAGATGTTCCAGTTTGTACTAAATTAAAGAGGGTGAAGATGATGAGGATGAAAAGAGGAAGGCAGCAGTTGTCAGGCCAACACAGCAACTCAGTGCGAAGCTGTCACCTCAAGGCACACCGAATTCATGCGTGGTCTGTGTGTGTGTGTGTGTGTGTGTGTGTGTGTGTGTGTGCGTGTGTGTGTGTATGTGTGTATGCATGGAGGTCATTTCTGCACTGTAAGGACATTTGAAACTCTCTCTCTCTCTCACTCGCTCTCTTTGAAAGCAGCAGCAGTGCTATCCTTGCACTCTGCCGGATAAGAAAGGCCTACGGGACACAATATTAGGGACCTCCACACACTGCAATGTGAAGCACTTTTGATTGACAGCAGCATGTATTTGGGGTAAGGCATGAACAGTTTCAGTAGTTTTTTTTTCTGCTCACAAATAATTAAATTAGATCCAAAAAGTCTGAAAATGTTGCCTCGTTCTAAATAATTGCCTTGGTCTGAATTATTCAGCTGCAAAGTTTGCCAGGCATCGATTTGGGGTAAGGCATTTATAGATTATGTTGCCCCCCACAATTCCCGCACCAAACAATAATGGCATTTATGTAAATCCAAAAAGTGTTAAATTACCAACTTTCAAGGTTGGCCCAAACCCTGTGGAGGCAGTTTATTTACCCAACTGCAAAGCGTATGAGCCATCTCTCAAGGGTAAGGCACTTGTATTTTCTGTCCTTTTTTTCTCTTAGTTCCCAAAATAGTAAATGACACTTAGTAAAATCCACAACGTATTCTAATGCGGTCTTAACAAGGTTGGCTCTCGCCCCAAAAGTAATTTAGTCAGTTGCGGAGTTTACCAAGCAGCTATTTGAGGTAAGGCATTCAATTTAGGACTCCCCAAAATCGAAATAGTCTTAAAATGTGACCGACCCTGCCAAAAAAGAGGTGAGGTTTTTTCCAAAGCATTTCTCAAGGGTAAGGTGTTTGATTTTTCAGGCATGTTTTTTTTAACAAGGACACTTTCAAATCCCCAATTTTAAAACCCTTCCTTCACAAGCTCGACCTTTTGCTCGATCAATGTTCTCCACTTTGGTGGAGTTGATTTTGTCAAGTTGAATTTGTTTTTGTGAAATGTGAAGAGAGTGGGGTTCCCAAGAACAGCCAAAAATTAACGCACAAATTGCGACGAAATGCCGCCATGGTCCTACTGCACTTTCTCCACGAGAATCAATTGTCACAACTGGCTTTCACATTTGAATGTTAAAAAGTTTAGCTTGGAGCCTCGGGTCCTGCTAGCTTTCAGTTTTGCAGTTAGCATTTGTGATTGTCGAGAGAATGGTTGGTCTGGAGTGTCTCTTTTGGGATGAAGATGTCACTGGGGAAAACATACTCCGTTTGTCTTTTCAAAAAACTGTCGATAACTGAATGGAGTGAGATTCCACCGGCTAGCCAAGTTAGCGCACTCGCTGTCACTCGACTTCTTTCACATGTGGGAACTTGTTCCGGTTGCCTTGAGCTGGAATTGATTTTGTTGCTGCGGACGGCAATATTTCAGTGGAAGGGGGTCTAGCTTCAGGTGCTGCTAACCCTTTTTTGTATTTTCTTTCTGATCTAGTACATCATCGTCCTTATGAACACCGTCATTTTATTTATTTATTTTTTGGTCTTTTTTTAAGCAGCTTGCGCACATAAAAGAGAGCGAGGGCGATGCTTGCTAGTACAGCAGACTTAATGGTAACCATGGAAATAATGACAGAGGAGTCACACGGTGTGAAGAGTGAGCCACACACACACACACACACACACACACACACACACACACACACACACACACACACACATACACAGTGAGAGAAGGAGAATGTTAGCCCGATACCAGCAAATCTGTGACGGGACCGAGGCTTGTGGCCACGCAAATGTTATTTTTAGCCGCCTTGACGCCGCCATGACGGCCCTCGCCGCGCTACGTCAGCAAATGGGCGATGTTGGGGCTGGGGTCACTCCCCATCTTCTACCTCGCCACTTTTTGTCGTGCTGACGGAACGCCACGTGAGTTAGCAGAAGAGTCACCGTGACGTCACATTTTTTGAGGCCCATGCATGCCAATATTTGGTCGGAAGAGAAGCTGATGGCTGATTAATTTGAAAAAAATCTCATGAATAAAGTAACTTTTTTTTTTTGTGTCCCCTACACTCACAACAACAAAAATGACCCCGGCCGTGAGGGAGACGGAATTGGAAGTTGATTAAGTGCAGGAGATAATAATAAGACAGCCACTTATTTTGTTGGATTTGGTTGCCTGTTTTAGCTGTTATTTAATTCATCATTTCAGCCTGAGCATCAGCTACGTAGCGCATGACCTGTACAAAAATCGGGAGCAATTCAGAGTCTGTACACACAAATCTTTATAGATAGGGATATTTAAAATGGATTTGAAAACTGCCTCAGGGGTGAGTACTAAATAGAGAAGGAGTGCATGACTCCCGACACAGAGCCATGAAGTTAAAAAGTCGTCGTCATGGAAACGCATCGAAGCGAGTCGTTTAGCTGTGACACTTCTTTCAAGCTCCACCAAAGCATTTTTTTTAACAATTCAATCCAATAACATATTTGGTATGGATTTTAGAATGCAACTAGAAATTAAAAATGAGCGATTGTGATCGAATGTAGAAATGAGCATTCTGCGTTCATAACGTCCTTTGGGTGGTTAAATTTTCCTGATGTTTTTTTTTTTTTCTTTTGAGAAAAATGTCAATTTGCAAATTGGTCGGGAAGGGGATAGAAATGGAGGCTGGGAAGTAAGCAAAGCAGTTTGGTCCCAGCGGGAATGCAACCAACTCCGCCTCCTTTTTGCGCGCACACACGCTCGCACGCCCAGAAAGAGCGAGAGAGAAATAGAGAGGGAGCGCACGCTCCAGAGAGTGAGAGAGCGGCTGTAGCGCCGTAGTTGACCCGTTCAGGCAGGATGCGTTCCACGACCACGCGGCGGGCTGTTGGCAGACGACGAGCCGGCCTCGGCAGCACACAGGCGCATTCCTCGAGGAGCGCGCGCCGCTCGCCAGCCAAGCCGAGGGACTAAACCCGCCCGGCGGAGGACGAGCTTTGCTTGGTTGTTTGTTTTCGGCGTTGTGGTGGTGCACACGTCGGCCAGCCAGCCGTCCTTCTACTTTGGCCCGTCCGAAGGATGAGCCACCTCGGCGGACGGTCCGTCTGCCCCCCCCGCAGGGGGAGCTCAGCCAGATGCCACGAGGAGGCGCTGTGGAAGGCGGCGACGGAGGGCCAAACGCAGCAGCCGCGCATCCTCCTCCTCTTACTCCTCGTTGTCGTCCTGCTCTTCTAACGTCTGTATTTGTTTCTCTCCCCGAATGCTGATGAGAGAGATGCGTGCACATAATGAACAGTGGCCTACTTAAAAAGAAGGAAAGTGAAAAAAAGAGGAGGAGCTCTAGTCACGGAGCCACTTTGGGGTCACCTTTTTGGAGGCTGGCTGGGAATGCACTTCCTGTCCTGTCCCGTCATGTCCACCTGCACCACTTTGTCAGAATTCTTTCTTAAATCTCTCCCATAGAACAGAAAAACTTGTACGGCACTTGTTCTTCTCCTCTTGAACTCTCTCAGTCCTCTCTTGTCTTGTCTGTGGAAGGAGTCTGATTATATTGTGCTACTCGCAGCCACAGAATAATTGCAATCATCCAGATTGACTTTTTTTTTTTTTTTTTTTGTGCCTTGGAAGCTGGAGAGTTTTGATTTCGTGACGGAATGCACGTTGCCGTTTTTTGATACCGGATTAGGAGCGGATGCGTCAACCGATCACGTGTTGGACACGCTTGTTGGAATATCAACGCAAACTTTGGAATTACTGCCAACAGTGGAATAAGGCAGTCAAGGTATCAAAACAAATGCCAGCAGATTTGTAGGTAAAATTATTTTGACCATACAGTTTCAATATTACTTTTTTACTACTGTCGAAAAATGTTGCGTTTTTCTTTTCTTTTTTTTTCCGTGGGTAGGCGTTAAAGAGAGTCTCGCCCATCTTGTATATCAAATTCAGAGATGTAATGATCAAAAGATCTCTGTAGAGGTTGACCTCGCATCACTTTGGATTTGAGCTCAGCACAGCTTTTGAGTTGTGAATACGGGCTTGCAACGTCAATTCTGTGGGACAGGAATGCCACCGTTGTGGAACTCACACGCATTTAGTAACCTCACACACAGGGTTGGCATTGTGGTAGGTTGTAGGAAGTGTGTCATGATCATGAGAGAAGACGTCACCCTTGATGGAGCAAATCCAGTCCCCATTTAGTGTATGATTTTCTTGTCTTCTTGAAGGCTTCATAACATGCAGCAGATAAGTTGAGATGATATGACTGTTGTGTTGCTTATCTTTAATTTTTAAACCTTGCATGTTACCATTCTCTTTTTTTTGGGGGGGGGGGTGCATTTATATACTTAATTGCGATGAACGGCACATATCTTCAAAAGCTACCGTGACTATGCGGTACTGAGAGGTGACCTTCATTGAATGCAGAAAAGTTTTTACGTTTTTTTGTCCGACGTCACCTCTAGCCGCTCTTCCGTGGCAACGTGTTCCCGGTGGGGAGCCGGCGCTTGGTCCAAAATTAGAGCTGCTGTTGGAACCGCATTGCTGCCCAGAGAACGCGTTTGTCTTCAGGCGCTCCAGGCAGGACAACAGCCGGCTCAAAACACAACACGGCCAGTGAATCATTGAAAACAAAAACAAACAAGCAAAATGAGTGGAATATAGAACATAGAATAACCTTCTGAACATGTTTTTTTTTTTAAACTGCCCCGGTTGGTTCGGTGGAGTTTGGTCCTGGTATGGTTTGCTGAAGTTTTGGTTCGGGTAGTTTGGTACGGTTGCAGTTTGCAAAACTTGCCTTTGCCCAGCGGACGCCCTTCCGAACTCAATTTAGCTCAAGGATTCGGTTTGTGTGTGTGTGTGTGTGTGTGTGTGTGTGTGTAATCCATTTGGTGCAACCTGCACTCTGCTACTTGTGACCTATTTTTTTTTTTTTTTTTTGCATGATTAATTAGGAGAACCAAAGTGTCGCAACAACTGCCGTGCAAATCACTTGGGCCACTTTTCCGCCGGCGTTTGCCTCAGTCCACCAGTTTGTCTTTTTTTTCAGCTTTAATGACCTTTTCCCACAGCCGACCTGTTGACAGTCCTTCAATTCATCAAAAGTTGACGGGAGCATCTTTTGTAGGCTTTTAGTGCGGCGGCGGCAGCAGCAGCAGTAGCAGCTGCACCGGGCCCACGCGGCCGAGCGTGCGATTGATGGCTGCGGATGCGACTGCGCTCCAATCGGCGGTTGAGTATTTTTCAAGTAGGGTGGGGAACCGCTCGGTGTTCTATCACAACAACCGCAAATCAGGGGGAGAAAAAAAATGGCCCGATCGCCTCCATGCTGTTAGGAGACCCGCTAAGTGTGCAGCCTCCAGCTCTCACGTAAGATGAGGTTGCAGTCAATGATATTTCTTGATGTTTAGGCCTTGCTACAGTTAAATTTGGATGCGTTCGGTTTGATTTGGTTAGAGGAAGGGTTTCGTTAGGTTTGGCTGGGGATGTGTTAGGCTTAGCTTGGATATATTAGGTTTTCTCATGTTTGTGTAAGTAACGTTATGTTAAAAGTTACTTTGGTTGTCCATCCATTCATCCATTTTCCGATCCGCTTTATCCTCACAAGGGTCGCGCGGGGTGCTGGAGCCCATCCCAGCCATCTTCGGGCAGTAGGCGGGGGACACCCTGAACCGATTGCCAGCCAATCGCAGGGCACACAGAAACGAACAACCATCCGCGCCCACGCTCACACCCAGGGACAATTTGGAGTGTTCAGTCAGCCTCCCATGCGTGTTTTAGGAAGGTGGGAGGAAACTAAAGTACCCAGGGAAAACCGGCGAGAACATGCAAACTCCACACAGGAAGGCCGGAGCCGGAATCGAACCCGGTGCCTCTGCAATCTGAGGTCAATGCGCTAAACACTGGTCCCACCGGGCCGCCTGCTTTGGTTGTGTTGAATTAAATTTGACCCGGGAGTGGAATAAGATTTGTTCTGGTGCGGTTACAAATGGATTAAGTCTAGTGATGTTTTGTTCGGCCGTGTTCGGTTCACTAACATTTGTTTACGTTTCGGCTTTTCTTTGGATATGTTAGGTTAGGTTTGGATGGGTGAGCGTTTCACTCAGGCGTTGGGTCGGAGGTTAGATTTGGTTTGGTCTATTGTAAATTTGTTCGGGTCCGGATTTGGATACATTTGGTGAGGGTTAAGGTTAGCATTCTACCATAACCACACACACAAAAAAAAAAAAAAATGCTGAGCGTTTGGACGCCATTAAGCCACCCACCAGCTCTCCAGCCTTCATCTCTGCCTGGAGCGCAGCCCCTTCCCCACCCGTCCACTGTGATAAAAGCGTACCAGACTGAATTTTGTCTGGTTTTTGTTCTCGCCCTACCTGACACCACTGCCGTCTTCAGTCCCAGTTCCTCCTACACAACCAAACCAGATCTTAGCTTAGAAGCCCGAAACAAACATCCTCTCCACTTTTTTTTCCTCCCGCGTCTCCCTCCCACTCGATGTAAGTGCGTCCCTCCCCCGGCTCCCTCGAAGGGTTTGAGCCGGAAGCCGTTGGCCTCCCACACGTTTCCCTCTTCAGCCGTCCCCGGCTCTCGCTTGGCAGAGCATTTGCATAAACACCCAAGCGTGGCGGTTTCGCACGTTTTCCGGAGCGTTTGAACGCAGCGTCCAGGCCGCTTGTGCTGTGATGCCGCCTTCAAGACGCCGGGAAAGGATGGAAATATCCCAGCTGGGAGCCTCCCGACTCTTGCCTCCAAGACGCCACGGCCAAATGGGATCAAACGACAGGGGCTCCTGTCTTCTCGGTGTGTTACGGAACTTCGGCCGCCATCTCTGTTCAATGTGTTGAGCCGTGTCTGCCATCTTCGTAGCGTGTTGAGATATGTCCGCCATCTTTGTGGGGTTTGTTCTTGCCTATCCAACATGTCCGCCATCTTGGATGAATATTTTCAGAGCAGTTTCTGCTATCTTTGTGGAGTGCGTTACAGCGTATCCACCATATTTGTGGAGTGTGTCGCAACAGTCCCACATCTCTATGAAATCATGTCTGCCATCTTTGCTGAACATATTAAGCCGCATCTGCTATGTTTGTGGAATTTGTTGAGCCGTGTCTGCCATCTTTGTTGGGTTTGTCGCCGCACAAGCGCCATTTTTGTTGACTTTGGTGAGGGAAGGTCTGACATCTTTGTGGAAGCTGTTTCCCCCAACCTATGCCGTCTCAGTGGAGTGTTTTGCAATAATGTTTGCCATCTTTATTAATTAAGTGAGTCGAGCTGTGTCTGCCGCATAACTGTCCACCGTTTTTGTGGTCATTTCCATCATGCCACGTCCACAATATTTGTGCACTGTGCTGCTGACGATTTTTGTGAAGTGTGTTGCCGCCACCATCAAAAAAAAAAAAAAAAAAAAAAAAAAAGGTGATTCAGTTGGCAGAAGACGTATGTAGTGCAACCACAGACAGCCTGACAGAATGCAATATTACATTGGAACTTTATGAAGCAGCACAAAAAAAAAAGAACAAAACACATTTAACTTTTGCTCAGTAGGCGGAGAATATAAATGATAGCACTGCATAAATGTCAGTCGCGGAATATACATGAAAACGCTTTTGAGTGATTCTCCTCTCTGAGAAACACCAAATCAAGTTCACCATCTTTGGAAGAACAACAAGGCCAGCGGGGTCTCGCGCTCTTCGCCAGCGTCAATGATTCATGGATTCGCTAAATCAAAGAGGCCAACTTGTCTGCTGGCTTGAATAGCAACACCCTCCTCTTACTCGTCTTCCTCGTCTACCACCCCGGGCCAGACCGAGTCTCATCAAAGGACCGCTTTTTCCGTTTCTGGAGGCGTCACCTCGTCTTGCAAACGGCACTTATGTAATGGCGCGAACGGGTACAACAGGTAGACAGACGGACGGGATGGAGAAGAGAAGAGAACGTCTTTTATCGTCAATGATACATGTAGATAGGCAGCTTGGAAGCAGGTTGGAGGGTAAAGTACGACTGCATATCGGCCATCTTTGTGGAGCCTTTTGAACCGCTGCTATACCAGCGTTGCAAGAATGGCCGCCATTTTGGTGCTGTGCGTTGCCACGTCGAATCACGTTGACCAAGTGGAATTTTTTACGGCAAGTTTGTGTGTTTTTCGCAAGTCAGCCATCTTTGTGGAATATTTGGTGGCATTTACACCAAACTTGTTGACGAGTGTGTCGTGTGGGTCCACCATCTTTGTGGAGTGTGTTACGGCAAGTCTTTGTGGAGTCTTTTGCAGCATCTTTGCCACTTTTGCGGACGGTGTTCCACGATGCCGCCCATCATTGTAGAGTGCGTTGCGCCACCTGTGATCATACGCAGGCCACCATCTTCTTGAGGCGCATCGCATTGTTGAAAACAAGCCATCTGCCTGATATCAATCGAGTGTTGCCATGACAACCTGAGCAGAAAATGCAACAAAATGGAGCATGTTGGCACTTCCCATGAAAGGACTACATAATGTCTCGGACTAATTTGCTCTGACTATTAAGGTGCTCATCAAGGTCAAGTAAAAAGGGGAATGCACATTCATCCACATTGTGCACGGAAGGGAACTGGAACACTGTGTGATGTTCAAAGAGTGTTTTTTCAGGAGCAGGGTGAGGTGTACTTTGTGCTTGCCGAGTTCAAACGAGGGTGCGCAAGTCGCCTATCACCTGGGCTCTTCACTGATTCTCTAACCACTGGAGCAATTTTCTTCCTCTTTTTTTTTTTTCTAAATTCCACTCCAAATAAGGCGCCGTTAAAAAGGCAAAAATGTCAGCGGTAATTGGACGTGGCGGGCGGCGCGTGGGCGTGAAAGCTTGCCGTCTGTCCGGCTGGCAAGGACAATGCTGCGCTTAATAGCAGCATTGAGTCTGAAAAGAAACACGGCATTAATTACACATATGCAATTGCCGCTTAAGGCACCTCAGTTGCCGGCCTGGGGTTTGAAAGCAGATAATTCCCACGTTTATGCTCAGCTGGGAACTTGTTGCGCTGCAAGGACGTCTTGAGAGGCAGCTGTCGCTTTCAACTTCAATTATCACACGGGGAACTTCAACGACCAACAATTTTGCGGATTTTTCCGAAGGCTGTTGATGGAATAAACCAGACGGACTGAATCATTGTTGCTTTTATGTTTGTTGATCTGAAATAATTCCCTGGTGTATATATTTTTTTGTATATTCTGATTCAGAAATGACTCGAAAAATAATCAACAGATGCATTGATTATTAACCCTTTCAGGGACAGCGGTTACTACAGTGGACAGCTTATCATGTTATCACGTTACAGGGTGCATGTGAGGCTTAAAAAATAATTGTCAGTTCCAGCTGTTGCATGATGATGAAGCAGCAGGCGGACACGCGACTGAGACAATTGGGGCAGCCGCATTTCAGGACCACGGACAGTGGCTCACTTTGAGCAAATCGTACTCATTTGTGTAAAATCAATACGTAATAATATCGAGCACGATTAAAGACAGAGTGAGGGGAGAATAAGATTCTCAGGGTGGGAGGTAGTTCCCGACTAATTCAAGCAGAAAATCTTCACCCCCCCCACCCCCTCCCCGCCCCCTCCCCTAAATCATAAGTTCAAGAATTGTGAAGCTGCAATCAAACAGGGGTCGTCCTCTCTCCACCTGGAACTTGACCCGTTGAGATGTTTGTGATTGACTGAGCTTTTGTTTTCAGTAAATATGCTGCAAGCTCACCAAATGGCTATTTTCAGTTCTTTATAACCTATCAAATGTAATGATTCGGAACAGTGCAGTTTATTTATTTTGCAAACAAATTATTGTTGTGATGGGGAGGCTTGTTCAAAAACAGTCGCGTTATTCTCTAATGGCCGATGACTTGGAAAAAAATATCATTTGCATCATCATTTGGAAGACGATGCGAATTGAGTGTCAAGAATATTCTCTTGATAAGTAACTGCTCGGTTGGCCAGATGAAAAGAAGGGCGCGTATGTACGCCGGCGTAGGCGCAAGCAGGGCCTTGTGCCAGCCTCGCACCTGCGCAGGTGCACTCCTGGACACCTTTTACTGATTCTTGGACTCCTTTTCTCTTAAGGTCACTTTTCATTGCCTCCCTTGGTGGCCTCCGACTCGTACTTTTTCGACAAAGAGCCACTGGCTGCATGTCTCGCCTGCTGCTGCTGCTGTTGTTTTTTTTTTTTTTTTTTAACTCTCTGGCGTGGGCTGCAGAGAATTGACACAAAAGAAATGGAGAAAGAGAGAGAGTGGCAGCTGAAAGAAAACCATTTGGACAGCTGAATGAAAAACATCCAGGATGGATGGAAAGAGGGATGCATAGGGACTGAACATGTGTGGAGGGCGCACAGAAAATGGAGTATGCTGGCTAAAGCAGAGCTGGACTGTTTTGGGAATCATTTAATCATTTTCAACTTCCTAAGCAGAAAAATATGAATTTTTATACAGTTGACTAAACAGTCCACAAAAAAAAAAAACCTGATGTTGTAGCCACTGCCTTCGGAATCATTGGCTCATTAACCCTTTCAGGTATAGCGGTAACCACAGTGGACAGCTTGTCATGTTATCATCTTACTGGCTGCATGAAAGGGTTAATGAAGTTTTTCGTGAAAGTATTGTTTTTTGTTTCTCAGCTGACAATTTAAACAGCTGGCATAGGTTCAGTTGAATGCTTTTCACCTTTGAAGTGATCATGTCAAATTTTTCTACAATAATAATAATCATTGTCTCTTTAGCGTCTTTCAAACCGTAACACTAAGAATTAAACTTGTGTCCTTAGACTGTTCAGGGTCACATATTAAGGCCCGCCCACTTTGCTTCTACGATCACTTGAAGAAAACACAGACAAGTTCGTATAAAGTTGATAGCAGAGGGCAATGTGCTGGCTGTCCCAACATTGCCGGGGTGAGTCCTTGAAGATATGCCCAGCGCCATGACCATTTGCTGGTAGAAAGTTGGCCTCCAGTTAGGATCAGGTTCAAATAGCGGCGCGGCTGGTCGAATGCCGTTTTGGTGAATTTGTTCAGGAAACAGGCGGACAGATTCTGAGCCTGGCGAACATGTATTGCTTTGAGAATTAGGACAAGGGCGACCATCAAACACCTTGTACAAATCAATTCATGGAGCGTATTATTATGATGATGACGATGATGATTATTATTGTCATGATTATAGTTCGTAAATCAGCGCTGCGGGTGGGGAACTGATTGAAAAACGACAAACTTGCTAACGTCTTCCTTGATCTGGTGTCCCACCAGATCACCGACCTCGGCGGAAGAGCATAGCCACGGGGAAACAGCCCAGCATGGACCTTCCCCCCAGCGCCCCCCTTCAACCCTTCCGACAATCCGTGAGTAACCCCACCACCTGTTCCCTCTCGCTGCCCCTTGCGCCCCTCCGCGCCGCCGCCCACGAATGGGGCAGGCGGGCCGGCGGCACCCCGCCGCCTCCACCCTTCCCGCTCTCCCTTGCCGCGTCGCCCATCCTCGCTCCGCCTCAGCGGGGGCGACGCGACCCCAAGGGTGCCAAGAAGGGTGGCGGCGCGCCCCCCCTGTCCCGCTCGCTTCCCCTCTCGCCTTGCTTGTCGCTCCCCTTGCCCCGCTCGCCCTCCTCCTCCCACCCCTTCCAATACTGGGGCGGAGCCTGCAGGGCCGCCGCTTGGAGTCCTGTGGCAGGAGGAAGCCTAATTGCAACACTACCCCCGGTGGAGGTATGTGGACACCCACCGACCCTGACGGGGATAATCATGCTCGACTAACCGTGTATGACCTTGGTAGGGTCGCGTGAAATGTTAATGTTATGCAACCAAGCAGTCTTGTAGAAAGTACTTGAAATCACTGCTTGAGTAAAAGTATCTTAACAGTATGGCCCAACCAATATGGATTTTTTTTTTTTTTATCCCAATGTCGATTCTGATGTTAGCGTGAAAAAAATTCTTGTTACCCATTAATTAGCGGATTTATTTAATGAATGTATGCAGTAAGCCCTGTCCAATTGCTTTTTATTTTATCCTATTTTATTTGACACAATGTAAAAGAAACAAGAAAACAGGAAGTATTTCAAGCCCAGCCTAGTTTTTGCTGGATAATCTTGACTCTCAATCCCCTTCAGTCCTGCTTTTTACACCTACAGAAAGTGACGGCTGTATATATTTAAATGCGTTTGCGGTACTTTAAAAGTATGTTTCAAAACCTGAAAAACAATTAGTACCATAAATGATGTTAAAACATACCAAGGGAGTGTTTGAGTAGGGTATTTCTGTATTGCGAATAATGCCGGTGGGTGGGTCTGGAACATAAACCACACCATAGGGCGGCGCAGGGGGTTAACTGTTTAAATTTATTTATTTAAAAAAAAAAGGTTTTAACAAGGTAAAAGATTGAGAATATAATAGGAAATGTTAGCCAAGAAAAACTGCAACAAGCTATCTACCCTCTCTGCTGAGCGCATTATTTCCTGTTCTGATGTGTTGACTTGGATGTGTTGCTTTCCGCTCTTGGGCACGCTGCTGCCCACCGCAGGCCGTATTGGCGCACTGCGCCCACCTGTGCGTTGACATCACCTTGTTCTTTTTCCCATCCCTGATGGTTTCGTTGGTGTGTGTAGAGTTTCCTGAGCAGGAGGTTGAAGGGCTCAATCAAGAGGGCCAAGAGTCAGCCCAAACTGGATCGAACCAGCAGCTTCCGACACATGATCCTGCCTCGCTTCCGCAGTGCCGACCAGGACAGGTCAGTGTCGCCTGACCTCATTGAACACTTTCACCACATTGAACACTTAGCCGTAACTCCAACCCTTATCACCACACTCTGAAATCAATCAATATGAAATCAGTGCACTTTGTACCAAGAATGTTACACGCTGCGATTCATGAGCGATGCCATTCCCACCCCCGCTCACTTGGCTTCTTACGCCTGGCAGGACGCGCTTGATGCAAAGCTTCAAAGAGTCGCACTCGCACGAGTCGCTGCTGTCGCCCAGCAGCGCGGCCGAGGCCCTGGACCTCACGCTGGACGAGGATGCCGTCATCAAGCCCGTCCACTCCAGCATCCTGGGACAAGAGTATTGCTTTGAGGTGAGCCCGCCTGCTCGCCGTCCACATGTCGCCGCGGGCCCCTCCGGTGCTCGCCGTCGCTATGGTAACTAACTATTTTGGGTGGGGGTGGGGGGCGCCTCAGGTGACCACGGCATCAGGAACCAAGTGTTTTGCGTGTCGCTCGGCGGCCGAGAGAGACAAATGGATCGAGAACCTGCAGAGAGCCGTCAAGCCCAACAAGGTGAGGGGAGGCAACGAAAGACCCAACCAACGGAACGAATGGCAACACCGTCTGATCTGTGTGTATGTGTGTGCCTCTCTCGCGCCTCGCCCTGTCCCACCCCGTTGCTGTTCTTGTTTTGTGGTCCATCCGAGCTCCATTTCCTGTGCGTGATCTCCATCTTCCTGATAAACATGGTCAAGAACGGAGCGGAAGCTCGCTGGTTCAACTTGGCTCACTGTTTCACTCGTCCTCTGTCCTGTTCTATGGCTCTCATCACACTGTGCCTCTTTGCCAAAACTGGTTTTAGCATCACAAAAACAAAGAAAAAACAACATCTATGCTACGAAAAGAGTCATGCTTGATAATTTCCAAAAGAAAAAAAAAAAAGGCTTTCTTTGATGGAAAGAGACCACCGGAATCATTAGTCAGGTGTAACCGAGCCAGCCATCCAGATGTTCTGTCCGTGGGGGTCCTGGCTCACACACACACACGCACGCACGCACACGGGCAAACATCAGTCAGATCCCAAGCAGAGCTGAGAGTCACAGCAAAGACAAACAGCTTGAATTGTATTGGTGCAGCCTCTTAAGAAGATACATCGATGGATATTGTATTCAGCTCGACACGTCCGCCCGTCACATGAGGTGTACAGCTGCTCTCAGCTCGTGACCGCATAGGGACAAGCTACGAATACTGTCAATGTTAAAATGACCCAAAATGAAAAAAATAATTATGATGCAATCATTGTTAAAAATACAGCAAAAAACCCAAATGCTATATTTAATTATTATATTTCTCTTCCTTAGGAATGAGGCGACTCGGAAATCATCCACATGAGTGTCCTTCCTCCAAATAATAATGATATACAATTAATGAAATGCATAAACTCGATCAAGCATTGCATGTAAATAAGATGTACAGCAAAAACTGAATTAGAAAAGTAAATATCTTGTCTATTACATCTATACAGTATTTATAAACTTTTAGAAATTGCAATTTAAATAACATATTGAAAAAGATTTTTTTATGATTATATGACGATGTTCTTGTGGCCTTACGAGTGCAGTAATTAGGCGAGCAGCGTGAGCGAGCAGATGGCCGCCTCCTTTCAAACGATTAATTATTAATTCTCAATTACAGCGAAAAGCGCAAACTAATGGCCCGAGTGCGAATGACGGCGATGCCCTCGAGGGGCGCTAACAACCACAACAACAACAACAACGGCATTTGTGCCTAATGGACGTGACTCGGCCCCGCCTGTTCAAAAATATCCCAGGGCCACCTTGTTGACATCCACGTATCTCGTGAGACTTTGTCATATATCGTGATCGCCGCAGATCTCGTTTTGGACTTTGATGGGTCTCATCGGACCTTAAAGTAGCTCATGAGACCTCGGTGTATCTTGTGAGATTTTGACATATTTCATGAGACTTCAACAATCTTGTGAGACATCGTCATATCTCAATGGCCCTTTGACAAACGTCTCTGTTCTCGACCAAATCGGTTTTCGACCAAAAATTTCGGGTTTTTTATGCCTCGGATGACGACCGAATTTCGGTTCTCGAACAAACTGAGCGCACTTGAATTCATCACTTGACTGCTCTCGCCTTCCTTACATGAGGAAGTGACGCTTCCTCGTATAGCGTTCCATTGTGAACAGACGCGTTCAATAAAGTTTTTTTTTTTTAAAGAGTATGGTTTCGGTTTTCGAACAAATCGATTTTCGAACAGCCTTCTGGAACGGATTATGGTCGAAAACCGAGGTATGACTGTATATATGAAGACGCCAAGTGACTTTTTTTTAGACTTGGGCATATTTCATGACACTACGAGCTGGCGTGTGAAACTTTGACATATCTGACAAGACTGTGATGTACGAGTTTTTGACATATCTCGTGTGACGTGGACACACTGTATCTCGTGACATATCTTGTGAGACTGTGACAAATGACACTTCAACATATTTCGTGAGACATGTATTTTGTAAATCTCCGCTATATCTTGTGAGACTTCAACGCTTTTTTTTGTCCGCGGTGCTAAAGACGCTGACAACAACAAAAATGACACTCGAGCCTAATTGACTCAGCCCGGCGTGTTTAAAAATAGCCCGGCGTGCGTTTGGAAATAGCCCGGGGTCTTTTGTGATGGAGCCGTCTGTCTCGGCAATTGTGCGTCCCTTCGTCTTGTGAGTCACTTCCCGTCGTGCTACCTCCGTCTCACGGCCTCGCCTGACATCATTCGTACCCCGCGTGTAGCGTGCCGCCTCCTCCCTCTTTCAGGACAACAGTCGGCGTGTGGACAACGTGCTCAAGCTGTGGATCATCGAGGCGCGGGAGCTGCCCGCCAAGAAGCGATACTACTGCGAGCTGTGCCTGGACGACATGCTGTACGCGCGCACCACCAGCAAGCCGCGCACTGACACTGTCTTCTGGGGGGAGCACTTTGAGTTCAACAACTTGCCCGCCGTGCGAAACCTACGCCTGCACCTCTACAAGGAGACGGACAAGAAAAGACGCAAGGTGAGACTGCACGAGACTGTGGGAAAAAAAAAAGACCACTTCCTGGTTCAGAGGCTTTTGTGAGATGGTGGCAACGAGATTTCATGGCAAAGCGAGCTGCGTTTCTTCGTTTTGTGAGGAGACTCGCCTCCCTGTTTTCACCGTAAGACCGAATCTGTCTTTTGTTCCCCTCCAGGAAAAGAGCACCTATTTAGGCCTGGTGAGCATCCCCATCTCCAGCATCACCGGGCGTCAGTTTGTGGAGCAGTGGTACCCGGTCATCCAGCCCAGTGTCCTCACCAAAGGGGCGGGCGTGGGGGGCGGCGGCAAGATCATCAACGCCTCGCTGCGCCTCAAGTCCCGCTTCCAGACCATGAACATCTTGCCCATGGAGCTGTACAAGGAGTTTGCGGAGTACGTCACCAACAACTACCGCACGCTGTGCGCCGTTTTGGAGCCCGTACTCAGCGTCAAGAGCAAAGAGGAGGTGGCCTGTGCGCTGGTGCACATCCTGCAGAGCACTGGAAAAGCTAAGGTACCCCGGGATTCCCAGGCTTCCCTCCATTTGTCGGTTTTCTTTTTGGATGGCGTCACTCATTGAGCTGTCTCAGGAGATATATTCAAAGTCAAATGAGAGCCGTACCTGTACAGTCGAGTCGAATTGACATCTGACGAGATACGTCAGGGTCTCACGAGAAATGATGACATCTCCTAAGATAGGTTGAAATTTCATAAGATATGTCCACTGAAGTCTCATAAGCTCTGTCAAAGTAAATGTCGGAAGTCTCGGCAACAATGTCAAAATCTCACAAAGTATGTGAAAGTTTGATGGAATGTCTCATTAGCCTGAGGAAAGTATGCTTTTGCTGCGATTGACTCGGTGCGTCCAGGACTTCCTGTCGGACATGGCCATGTGCGAGGTGGACAGATTCATAGACCGGGAGCACCTTATCTTCAGAGAGAACACTCTGGCCACCAAAGCAATAGAAGAGTACCTCAAGCTCATCGGACACAAGTACCTCAAGGATGCCATCGGTTCGTACATGTCGTCAAACTTCTCCTCACCGAGCCGTGCGGGCCGAAACATGCGATCACAAACTCAAAATTCACCTTTGTTGAGGCATTCCAATGACGGTGCGACTTTTGATAAAGCGTCTGTCCGTATAGTCCTTCTTAGGTCAAATATCAACAGGCACGTCTTCGTATGCTTCAAGCTAAGCGCTGTCCCTGCGTCAAATGTAAAACAGCGCCATACTGGTGTTCGCCCTTTAGCCAAAATGCTAACATTAGTGCTAAGCTAACAAGGCTAGTTCCATGCTCCCAGTTGTCCCCGTGTCTGAATTTTTGCTCTGCCATCAGCCTGCTATGTTTGCTTGGCCTTTTAAGGCGGGCTTTTCCCGAATTTGCCTGTGTCACTTGTCATGTAAACTTGATTTTGGAAATAGTGCAAACTTTTAATTGGAGGAGGCATTTCCTATCAGGGGCTGACAGAGAGGCAACTTGTGGGGATTTTTATTAGATTTTCCAGCAGAGTCCAGTGCTATTTTTACACGCTTATGCCCCGGGGGTTCACCCCAAATTGAATTAGGCGATTATCACAGCTCAGCACAGGTGGCAGATGTTTGATGGGAGGTGGAACGGAGGCGCAAAGAACACAACCAGACTAAGGTGCTCTTTTGTTGTTCACTCGTTGCTTTGTACGCAAACACATTCAGTTGGCATTTGAGCTATTTAGCATATTTGCTCAAATAGATTAGTCAGGCATCAAGTGTTGCTTGGGAAAAAACAAAAACCCACCCTTTTTTTTTCTTGTTGCGAATTAGTTAGCATTAGCACCGCTAATTGACCAATCAATGGACATCGGTGTGTCAAGCTCCACACAGACATTTGGACCGCTAAACACCTCCCTCCATTCGAGGTCTTCCTTCAAATTCACACCTGGCACAGCCGGTAACTGAGTAAATAAGCTTTTATTTTCGGTGAGACAGTAACCATCAACCAATCATCAACAAACGTGTGTACGACTAAGCACCTCGCTCAATTAGAGGCCTTCCTTTAAATTGTCACCTGGCACGACTGGGACTTTTTTTAAACCTCCCAAATAAGGTCAAAGATGACTTAAAAATAAAATCTAAACGCGACTGAGCTAAAGAAATCCCTCCAGCCACCGTTTGAGGGATTGTTGCATGCGTTGTTGAGAATTGCAGTTTCTTATACCCAGGGGAATTCATTCGCGCCTTGTACGAATCGGAGGAAAACTGCGAGGTGGACCCCATGCGAACGCCTCCCTCCGTGCTGCCGGACCACCAGGCCAACCTGAGAATGTGCTGCGAGCTGGCCCTCTGCAAGATTGTTAATTCCCACTGGTGAGCGCACAAATATCACATCACATGTTTCACAATTCACCGACCACCGCACAACAAAAGTGGATGCTTTTTTTTTTTTTTGCTGTTTTAACCATATATTTGGTGATTTTTGACACGTGTTCGTACTGTCAAATTTCAGTCTGTCTTTTTTGTCTTTTTTTGTCACATTTAATTTTTTTATCACTTTTGGATTGCAGTCTCCTTTTTATTACTTTTTCATCTGTTTTGGTCATATTATTTTTTTCGTCACATTTAACATTTTTTTTAATCACATTTGGAATGCAGTTGTATTTTTGGTTACATATTCATCTGTTTTGGTCATATTTTTGTGCCACATTTCAAATTTTGGAGGACATTTGAAATTAGTTTGTCAAATCTGCCACATTCTTTTTTTTCAATATTTTTTGCCACAAATCTTTTTCCTCACATTTTCATTTCTTTAGTTGCATTTTGAATTTTGGTTGGGGTCTGGATGGCTCAGTGGGTAGTAACCCTGACTTCACACCAGGCCATGATCCGTGATCAGCAGCATCCAGTTGGGTCCCTCGGCAAGACCTTTGATGCTATTTGTCATTTTTCAGCCACTGTGGTGGGTGGGTTGCATCAAGAAGGGCACCAGACGCAAAAATTGTGCCAAACAGATCATGCCGGCGCAAAAACTGTGCCAAACAGATCATGCGAGTAACTAGTTCTGGCGAGCCCTGACTGAAAGGGACAAAGCCCCAAGTCGAATAAAAGCATCGTGTTTTTTATTTATTTATTTATTTTGTCACATTTTCATTTGTTTTGTTTCATTTGAAATACGTTTGTCTATTGATGTTGATAACAACTTTTTTGTGTGCGCGTTTCCTGCCAGCGTGTTCCCACGTGAGCTGAAGGAGGTGTTCGCATCGTGGCGAGTGCGCTGCGCCGAGCGCGGGCGCGAAGACATTGCCGAACGCCTGATCAGCGGGTCCCTCTTCCTGCGCTTCCTGTGTCCTGCCATCATGTCGCCGTCACTCTTCAACCTGACACAGGAATATCCAGACGAGCAGACGTCGCGCACCCTCACGCTCATCGCCAAAGTGGTGCAAAACCTTGCCAACTTCTCCAAGTAGGTCAACACTCACCACCGCGTATCCGGAGTTCAAGGCTGACCTTTGATGTTTTGTGTTTTTTTGGGGATTTTGTCAAAATTTTGGTGTCAAATTTTGATTACACTCGAGCCATTTAAAAATTTTTTTTGTGGTGTCAAATCTAGTTTTGATTGTTTTACATTCATTGATTTATTTTTTAAATCTTGATTTGTGATATTTGTATTTTGCTGTCAAATTGAGATTTTTATTTTTTGATTTGCACATTTTTTTGGATGGGGTCTCAGCAACTACCCTTTCATCCACTGGGGGAAAAGGCCTTTTTTTGTCATTTTTATGTATTTGCTTATGGATTTTTTGCTTGAAAGGGTAAAAACAGCCGCATTTTGAAGAAAACAGCCAAATGATTATTGTTATTTATTTTAATTTTTTTCCATAAAAAAAAACAAAAAATATTTGGCTGTTTTGTAAGCGGTGCACGAGTGATAACGGAAGCGACATGTACACGGCGGCCCCCGTTCAGGTTCGGCAACAAGGAAGAGTACATGTGCTTCATGAACGAGTTTGTGGAGCTCGAGTGGGGCTCCATGCAACAGTTCCTCTACGAGATCTCCAACCTGGACAGCGTCACCAATGCTGGCGGCTTCGAGGGCTACATCGACCTGGGCCGGGAGCTCTCTGTGCTCCACAGTCTCCTCTGGGAGGTCATGGCCCAGCTCAGCAAGGTAGCCGCCGGCACCTCAAGCGGGAAGGCTTTAACTCCTGAACTTGACTTCATTCATTGTCTTGTCCAATACGTGCAAGACTTGTTTTCATCATTCATCAAATCTTCCACTTTTATTTTGGTGCTAATACTGAAAAACATTTTTGTCATATTTATGTTCCTGTCACATTTTCATGTTTTTGTCAAAAACAAATTTTTGTGTGGTTACATTCAGATTTTTGGGGGGTCAAATATTGAGGTTTGTGTCACAGTTTGATACGTTCGTTCAGTTTTTTTATTTTTGTCTCATACTGATAAATGTTCTCACATTTTTGTTTGTTTCGTGGTATTTTCATCCGTTTCTCAAAATTTGTTTTCTAACATTATTTTGTCATGTTTTATTTTGTGTCACACTTTGAACCGTTTGTCTTATATTGATCATTGTTTTGTCACATTTTTACTTGTTTTTCTATTCTTTGAACTGTTTTCAAAGTATATTTTTAGTAATGTTCTTTTTTTTTTGTGAATTTCTTTTAATTGTAATTTTTTTGCACATATTGTTATTTTTTTGTGACATTTTTGTCACATCTAAAACTGTTGCTGAAATGTTTTTCTGTCACATATTAATCTTTTTGTGTCACGTTTATTTTGTCACATTTTGGTCTGTTTGTCAAATTTTCATTGTTGGCACATGTTGATCATTGTTTTTAATACGTTGATCAAAATAGTATTTTTTTTAAATTCCAAACTCGTCCTTTTTGTCACGTATGTCTCATTTTGATGTTTGTCAATTTTTTTTCCTTTTTTGTCACGTTCATCATGTGTTTTGTCACATTTTGTGAACATGTCTATTTTGACAAATGAGTAGAATGTACAGATGTGTGTTCGATACATGTGAAGAGTGCTGAGAGAAGCCGAGACTATTTTCGATTAAATGATTTTGTCGCCTGCAGGACGCCATCATCAAACTGGGCCCTCTGCCCCGCCTCCTGAACGACATCAGCATGGCATTACGCAACCCGCACCTGCAGAGGCAACCCAGCTACCAGGCCGAGCGCGTCCAGGCCGAGCGGCTCCTTTCCCGGCCCTCCTTCAACCGGGGCCTCTCCTCCTCCGACTTCCACAACCTTGTCATGAGGGACCTTAACAGGTATAGCGCAGCTAGGAATGGCGGCATTTTTTTCATTTCAATAAACTAGGCTTAGAATTTTGTGGTGTGACAGTTTGTGCAATTTTTTTGTGGGGGTAGAGGGGCAAATTCTCATGTCGCTTTTGTGCCAAATTGTAATCGTTTTTTTGGCAGATTTCTTGTGTTTGAACAAAAACATGTTTTTTGGGGTGGGGGGTAAAAGTAGTTTTTTTTGAACAAGCAGAATCAGGGGATTTTGAGGCAGGCTTTATTCACTCTATTCATCAACTTAATGGAACAGAATTTCTAGGGAATCCGGTTTAGTGCCTTCAGTATTGTTTATCTACTTTTGGAGGGAAATGAGGTTCTGTTGACTTCATCAAGTCATGATCTTCAACTCTCACTGGAGCAGTTTGGATTTTGAAAACTACCCTAACGTGTTTATTTGACCCACACCGCAGCTCCATGGACGTCACCCGCCTGCCTTCGCCTACCTCCACCGGCGGGGTGTTGCCATCCCGCTCCCAGATGAGCTTTCAGGAACGCGAGCACCTCCTCCACCGAGCGTCGTCTAAAGACATGTTCTACATGTCCCGGCCCCCCCTCGCCCGCTCCAGCCCAGCCTACTGCACCAGCAGCTCCGACATCACCGAACCCGACGGCAAGGTGAGTTGCGTGGGAATCGCTCGCCATCCCATCGGCCTGGGAGATGAGTATGACCAGCATGCCGCTCATACTCCAAGGAATCTCCCATGACCAAGTCTACAGTGAACCCCCGTTAAAAAAAATAATAATAATCTCTCGCAAATTAAAAAAAAAACAAAAAACAAACATGAACTTGTTTAACACTTTCCGGGACAGCGGTTAATACAGTGGACAGCTTATCATGTTATTAGGTTACAGTGTGCATGAAAGGCTTAAAGACGCTTTTTGAAAAATCTAAGCGCCTCTTCTCGCACTCCTTTGCACAGTTCTCCGAGCAGGTAGCTTTGTGCTAACATAGAATGGGAAACACTATTGACAGGCTAATGGAAATTAGCATAGAAGTCATTCTAAACCTTGAAACAACTGCTATTTCACACATATGGAACAGCAACGCATTCAAGCAGAGCATACAACAATACTTCCAGGCATGGATTCTGGCTGTGACGTGGAAATGATGAGGATTACTAGTTGGGGAGCTTCTCTTCTACACTGAAGGCGTCCAAGTCGAAATTTGAACTTGTGGAACTATTAAAAAAAAAAAAAAAAAACATTTCAAGTAGATGTACAGTAATTAATTGATTAATCATCGACTTATCTTTTTTGGTGATCAATTTAACATTTAGAAACCTTGTTGAACTTAAAATTGTCAAAATTTCAGTCTCTCATCTGTAAATAATGTTTGATTTCTGTTGTGTCTTTGTGTTGAGTCAAAATCAAAATTTTGCAACCATCACGTTTTACTTTGGAAAACAATAATCAACATTTTTCCCAGTTTTCTGACACATGCTAACAACCAAACCGGTTGGATGATAATCAATTAAGATATATGCATTTATGCAAGTAACGTCCCTTTTTGGAATAGAGGGATGGAAACTGAGAAAGTATTGTTTTAATGCAACTTATTGATTAGTTAAAAAAATCTTAAACAGATTAATCGATAATTAAAATAATAGCTAGTTGCAACCCTAATTTCAACTAAAGCAGATGTGCTCACACGTCCAAAATGTTTAGTAAATCTTAAAGTGTCTGTCTGGAGTTAAAAAAAAAACAAACAAAAAAAATGATGGCAGTTGGCGATATAGCACCTGGCCCAAACCAGAACCACGATATAGCGGGGGAGCACTGTCTCATGACATCTGCTTGTTGCTTCATCCTGGAGGGTATTTCCCAACAAATACTCTGCGGCATTCGCGACATCAGTGCCCGGCGGTTCACGTGGCCGCACCACCCTCACCCATCTCACCCGTGGTCATCATGGAGTTTGCGGGGCGGGACGGGGCGGGGCGGGGCGGCTCAGTGTCAGTAAAAGCCTTATCTATATGATGGACCTCCAGGATTCCCGAATGAACAGCGTGTCTAACCTGCAGTCGGTGGACATGCTCAACTCCTCCCAGGCCTCCATCGCCGGCATGGGCAGCTTCGGGGGGCTGAGCGGCGGAGGCGGTGGCGGCCTGGGTTCGGGCCTGAGCGGCCAGCTGCGGGCCGGCGGCAGGTTGTCGGCCGGCTCCGGCGGCTCCAGCGTGTCCGGCGGCCTGCGGCTGAGCCGGCTGAGCCAGATGGGCGCCGCCGCCACCGACTCGCTGTCCCAGCAGCAGCAACAGCAGGCCGCCGCCATGCGCTACCCGCTTTCCTTCCAGAATCCCCTCTTTCACCTGGCCACGGCGGACGGGCCGCAGCACCACCAGCACCACCACCAGCAGCAGCAGCACAGCCGCGCTCAGCCCCCCGCGCCCCTGCTCCTGGCCCCCGAGCCTGAGCCCTCGCACCCCAGCTACGTGCCGCAGTTCGCCCACGGCGGATTCTCCCGCAGCGAGGACCTGTCCACCCTCAGAACCCGCGACGGCGCCCATCTGGCTCAGCCCAGCATCATCCACTCGCACAGCTACAGCGACGACTACGGCCGGGCCGACTACGCCCGCCGCCAGATGTCCGTCCACATGCAGGTGCGCACGCATGCCTGCGTACTCCAATATCCACTTCATGACTGCTTCGAGAATGTCAAGGAGGAGAAAAATTGAATTTGGCGCATTTTAAAAGGCAATAAATATAGGAAAATTTGATCCAGACAAGTATTAAAAACATTTTTTTAACACAAAATTAAATTGTGAAAGCATGTTATTATCTATTCTACTCATTTATAAAGTCAAGAAATAAATATATTAAAACATTTTTTCCAATATGCATCCTAAAACAAATTATGCTGACAGAAACATTTTACATTTAGGCTCTGTTTAATAATTATGTATTGTGGAAAAATACTCAATGGATCGAAACTTTTGGATGAAAATATAAATTGTGAAACATGTCTTAAATAGAAAGTATTGGGAAAATAACCATTTGAAAAATTTGTGATTTAAAAAAAGTCATATTTGAGACAGAAAATATCAATAATAATAACAATGATGATGAGGTGGGACATGGGACATTTTGAAAATATACCGGTAAGTAAAATTGTGTATACCAGTAACTTGTTACTGTCATCATTATGACCTTTCTCTGCTGGGAAAAATCACAGAAAACTGAAATGACTGGATTATATCACACGTCAGTATCGGTTGCGACGATCAGGGAGGTTTAAAGCTAACATGCTAACATGCAGAGAAACGATTTCCTGTGTCTGTCAGGATAACATGCAGCAGCAGCAAATGATGGGACTGACCTCCCAGACGGGCACCTCCCACTCGTCCTTGGCCACCACCCCTCCGTCCACCGTCCAGCCGCGAGCTCCACCCCCTTCCGGCCAACGCGTCAAATCGCAGACGTCCCACCAGCTGTCGGTCAGCGCCGCCGCCGCGCCCCCCACGGCCGTCACCGCCAAGTCCCGGCCGCAGAGCGGAAACCTCCTGCAGTCGCCCGAGACGGCCTATGGGGTCGGGCGGCAGCCGCACGGCGGAGGTGGCCGCCAGCTGTCCGTCAAGGACAACACGGCGCCGGGGCTGCCGCATCAACAAAGCTCGGTCCGGGAGTCGGGAAGTCCGCAGGGGACGGGCAGCCCCACCACGCAGCAGTCGCCCCAACAGCAGCAGCCTCAGCCGCAGCAGCAGCAGCACCTCCTCAAGCCCAACGTCGGCAAACAGGCCAGTGGGACGACGCTTTGCCAGCACTTATTTACAAGGAAGCTTTAAAAAAAATAAAATAAAAATAAGTTCCAGGAACTTTTAGCCCCGGAACTGCAACAGAAGTAATCACATTTCACGACACAAAACAGAAGTAGCTACACTCCACCTCCAAAGTAGTCAGTGGTCATAGACAGACAAACAACAATGATGTGACAAGATACTCAATAGATTGTATATACACACACACACACACACACACACACACACACACAAAAAATAAAAACAGTTCCACAAACTTTTAGTCCTGGAACCAAATTTTTCATCTGGCTGACAACTCAGCAGAACTACCTGCACTACACCTCCGATGCAGCAGGTGGTGGTAGATGGGAAAAAAAAATCGATGATGCCTATACCAGGCATGAATGAGGAATTTTGGTGAATCAGAAAAATTTCAGAAATTATCTTTTCCGTTTTAGACAGAGCTCACCATAATGCATGTTCACAACGTCGTTTTGGCTTCACGAATTCAGATATGTGTAACGACAATTTCGTTTCACACAACTTCCGCATCTGATACTAGATCGGGAGGCGTCAAATGTGCTGGTCCAAAGCAACTGGGACTTCCTCTGAAGTTGTTCAATTTTTGCGGTGTTTGACGTCAAACGTTTAAATAGCCGTTGCAGCTTCCCTATATTTTAGATGAGCAATTTCATTCCGAGTGGGTTGCTAGCGGATTCCCTGTGCTAGTGTTGACGTTGTCTCTGGTCACAGGGGTCCCAGGCGCCTGCGACGCCGGCCAACGAGAGGACAGTGGCGTGGGTGTCCAACATGCCGCACCTGTCGGCTGACATTGAGAGCTCACGCATCGACCGCGAGGAGTTCAAGCTCAAAGAGTACTCCAAGAGCATGGACGAGTCGCGCATGGACAGGGTGGGTCGCCATCTTGCTTCTTGCTGCTGCTGCAGCACCTCGTCTACATTTTTAGGGCGCTCAAGTGTGTCTAACCGCAATGTTGTTGTTTTTTGGGGTGCACGCAAAACAATCTTGGTGCCGTCAGAGCACGTCTGTTTTTATTTTTTATTTTTTGGTAGCTCCGGTTTATTGGAAGTCATTTTTTTCGCGCACCAAATATATCAAACAGTGCGCCAAACTCCGATGTACAGTAATTTTGGTGCTGACAGAGCACTTTGTCCTTTTCATTTTTTGGTGTGCTCCAGTATGTCAAATGATTTTATTGTTTTGTAGTATATCATACTACATTGTTTTGTTTTTTGGGGGTGTTGTCAGACCACTTTTTTCATTTTTGGTGCCCTCTAGTGTGCCAGACAGGCCTGTTTTTTTGATTGGTGTGCGCGTGTCAAATGACAATTTTATTTCTTTTTTTTTTGGTGCACTGAAATACATCAAACCGCATTGTTGTCATTTTTATGCAGTTAGAGCACACGTTTTCGTTTTGGGTGTGCTTGAGCAGATCAGATGACAATGCTGCTGTTTTTTTTTACTGCACTCGATTCAAGTATTCTAGACTCCAGTGTTGTTGTTTTTTTTTTGACTGCACTCGACTCAAGTATTCTAGACTCCGCTGTTGTTGTTTTTTTGCTGGTCTCAAGTATAATTGTAGGCAAATATGTGTTTTTGTTGAAAGTTGACCACATTTTTGATTGGTCAGAAACCACCTCAACATATAAAACGCTGTCAGCTGACAATATGTGAGTTGAACTCCAGAAGAGCACCAAAAACGTGTGCTCGTCTTTCATCATGAGCGTGACAGCAGGAAGGCACAAATGGCGCTCACATCTCATCTTCACCGTCAAAATGTGGATGTCTCAAATTATTCTGAGGGGAAAACCACCAAATGTCCCAAAGGTGTTCTGGAATACAGCTTTTAATAGTGTAGTGCTTTGGCACCCCCTTGTGGCATCTTGGTGCCAAGGAACTATGTTGAAGTGAGTTGATGGGTTTCTTTTAGACTAAAGTAGTGCTTAGGAGTCATCTTGTGCCATTGGGAAAGTATCAAATGCTTGAGGATTGTTGTCAAAGGGTCCCAAAGTGTGCCAAAGTGCTGAGCGCGTGTTGTGCTCCTGCGGCAGGTGCGTGAGTACGAGGAGGAGATCAACTGCCTGAAGGAGCGTCTGGTCATGTCGCACAAGAAGCTGGAGGAGTACGAGCGCCGCCTGCTTACCCAGGAGCAGCAGACCAACAAAATCCTGCTGCAGTACCAAAACCGGCTGGAGGACAGCGAGCGCCGCCTGCGCCAACAGCAGCTGGAGAAAGATTCGCAGATTAAAGGCATCATCCACAGGTAAACGCCATGCATCGGGCCACGGCGGGGTGCTACAAGGCTGCTTTCACATAGGAGTTGTTTTCCTTCCATCACCGAGCTCCGCACTTACTTTACTCGTACACCAAGTCAAGTTGTTGTGCCAACTCCGAACTAGATCACACTGCCTTATTGTCGCTTTTGGTGCTCCCGTCGATTCACTGGAGCACATTTTTTTTTTTTTTTTTTCTTACATACGCTCAACTACTCTATATCAGCAGACAGATTTTGGTGTGCTGCAGGATGTTCGAGTGCGTTCTTTTTGTTTTGTTTCTTGGTTTTGAAGTGCACCGGTGTGTATCGAAAAACATTTCTTTTTTTGTTTTTGTGCGCTTGAGTGTATCAGAACACACTCTCGTGCTTTTGCATGACTCAAGGATATCGGATTGCATTGTTGTGGTTGTTTTTGGGTGCAACAGAATTGATCAGAACCTGTTTTTTGGAGGGCACTGGAGTATCTTTGTATGAGTGAATCGTGGAATCGTTCCTGTTGGGTAGCATTGTTATTCTTTTGGTTTGATTGAGCATTCTTTCTTTTTTTTGTTGGTTTTTGCACTTGAGTATGTCAAAGTATTTTTTGCTGTCTTTTACGTGCTCAAGGACATTTTTGTGGTTATCTTTTGGTGCTCTGGAGTCTATCAAAGTGCGTTTATTTGTTGTTGTTGTTGTTTTGTGGTGAGCTAAGTATACCCAAACAAGTTTTTATCATGTTGTGGCATTTGTCTTGTGTACTTTTTACGCTAGTTTTTAACTTTGCTTTCTTTAATGAGTTGTTTTTTTTCAGCCTCCTAGATTGCTGACAGTTTGGGCTTTTGTCAGAGCTGGCGGTCACACGTCCAAGTGTGACATGTCTAAAAACAGCTGAGCATGTCGGGGAAAACAAAATGAAGTTCCCTGACGGACAAAGTCCACGCTGCGTTTTTTTGTGTTTGCACACGATCATATCAAAGTGCCTTGTTTTTGGTGGACTCAAGTATATACCAGGATTTTTTAGCTGTTTTTTGTGCACTTAAGTAAATCATTTTTATTGTTTTTTTAGTTGTCTTTTTGGGGGGGGTTGTTTTTTTGCTGTTTGTTTTGACATAATTAAATATCAATATGCATTTGTTGTTTTTTGTTGATCTTGAGGATAACAGAACACTTTTTTTAATGAGTATATGAGAGCGCGTAATTGTTACTTTTGATGGTGGTGAGTGACCTAGAACCTGATTTTTGGTGCGTTTTTCTTTGTTGGGTGAGTTTTATAAGAGGGAGTTTTTATTTATTTGTTTATTTGTTTGATTTTGTCTTGAAATGAACATGTGACATATAATCCCCTCCAGGAAAGAAGACGCCCAATGACGACAGACGAATGAACGGACGGACGGTCATGCGTGTTCCGCCTTAAAACGTGTTCCGATCTCTCTGCGAGATTTAAAGCGCCGACCGGTCGCTACACGTGTGACAAAAAGACAGGAGGAAAGCGCTTCCCTGTGGAAATGACCAGACGCCGTGAGACCAGACACGTTGTTTGGACACATTTTTTTTGGAATGGTTGTTGTTCTTGAGCTTTGATTCGACCGCTTATAGCACTCCCAAAAAGTTGGGGGCGCAATTTTGCAGTGTTGGAGGGAATTTGGACCATGAAGCTGAAATGCACTTGGGTCGTCACAGCACAAATTTAAATTTCACCTTCTCCATAATATTTACCGGTAATTAAAAATAAAATATGAATAATCGTATCGGACTGAAACCCAATTATTTTCAGAAAGTTGTCTACAATGTGTTCACAAAACAAAAATTTTGAGGCACAAAATTTGAATGTGTAACTGCAGCGGAGGAACTTTTCTCAACTTTTTGGGAGTCGCACGGCTGTTGCGAGTTGTTTTTGGTGATTTTCCTTAATGAAAGTCCATTTCTATCATCTTCCTTTTTCTGTAATAAGACGACAGACACCCTTCAAACCAAAGAATGCGGCAGCACTTGTCTTTCCTAAATGTGGAATTTGAAAACTTTCTGGGATGCGGTCGCCACCTTGAAGGCATAGGAGGAAGAAAAAAAAAGAGGAAGTGAATTGGCCTGAAAACGATGGCTCTTTTCCATCTCCCATCACTCTACACCCATAAAAGGAGACAAACTGCCTCGGAAAAAAAAACTAATCTTTCAAAAAAAATCATAATTTTTTAAATCCATGATATCCATTTCCTTCAATTTCCTACACCCATAAAAGGAGACAAACTGCCTCAAATCTTTCAAAAAAATCATCATTTTTTAAATCCATGATATCCATTTCCTTCAATTTAATCTGGTCAATTTTATTCATACAATTTTAATGTCCAAAATAACCCTAAAATCTGAAGTCTTTTTTTTTCTTAAGAAATCATTTTATTGTCAAAATATATATTAATGTATATATCCATATAAATATATAAATATTATTTTCTAAAAGATTCTGACTTTATTCTACAAGCATATTTCTCTCAAATATAGAGATAAAATAAAATAAAGTTTTAAAAAAACTTGATAAAATAATCCTTTAATCTCGTGAATTTGAATTTAGATTTCCCCCCCACGAAAAACATAATTTTACTGTTGAAAAACATTGCTCTCACTAAAAGTCTAAGTTTATTTTTATTAGATTGCTATTTTCTCTCCGACATATTAGTCAAATAATACGTCTCTTAAATCAACTTTTTTTTTCTTGAAAATTGCTCAAATTTTCACACCCAAAAAAATCTGACTTGAATCTCAAAATATTTCCCTATTTTTGAGTCAGCCTTTGGAATTTGAAGTTGAGTCTTTTCGTGTTTTTATTGCCGTAATCGAGGGAGTAGGCTTGTGTTGGCCGACTGTCTTGCTAATTTTTTTTTTATGTCTTCTCCTCATGGCCTTAAAGCATCTTGTGTTCCACAGGGATCACTACTAGGCTCCCAGGAGCACCTTTGCAGTTATACGTCGAAATATGAATGAAATATACCGCTATTTATCATATGATAGAAGTTGTTAATATTCAATAAGAGTTGTATTGGCGAGGATGTTTTGTCGTATGGCAGTAATATCTCATCTAGTTTTTCAAATCTAATGTGTGCGATGCAAGCGACATAACAATAGTAGTACTGTATGAAATGTGAATAAATATTTACAAGAGCGAGACTATTTCATCAGCACGGTTTTGGCCGCAATAATCTATACGAGGCCGACTAGAAATTGTATTCATTTGTTGCCGTTTTTTGGAGACTTGAATTTTTTTTGGGGGGGGTGGGTACCGTAGAGAATATGTATTGAAGAGACAAAGTATATGAATATAGTATATGCAGGTGTGACAGTTATTGCCCTGAGCAACAGCCAGGGGGTTCTACTCAGGCCACAATATTAGGGACATGCTCATTGAGTTTTAGTATTTCCCATGCTGCCAGAATGTTTTGGAATGAGTCAACCACATCATATAGCAAAAGAGGAGAAACAGCTCTCACTTTTATGCGTTTTTTGTTATTATTTATTTTATTTTATTTTTTGTAGTAGTAGTAGTAGTAGTAGTATTGGGACGCTTGTACACCGAATGAAGCATCTGTTTCATCCTCTTGTCTTTTTTCTATGCAGCCAAACAATTTCCCACATTGTGACCTGAAGAGACTTGAAGTAAAAGTGCTCATAATGCTGACTTTACTTTTTTTTTCTCTCTTTCTCCCTCTTCATGTAACAAGACGTCCCCCATACGCTTCATTGTCTTTTCGACGTTTTTCAATGACATTTTCTGTGTGCTTGCTTGATGACTTCTTTCTTTCTGTCTCTCTTTCTTTCTCTCTGTCCATTTTTTTTTTGTACAAAGCAAAACTCTCAACGCTGTACACACTGTTTCTCCAATAAAACATCCAAACGCTCATGTTTGAAACTTCACCTGTGGATTTTTTGCTTTCTTTACTTTGTGCGTCCTCACTGGAATAAATGTATGTTTGTGACTGACTGAATTGGAAATGCAGACCTCCGCCAAGGAAAGTACGCCAGAAAAATCCTAACATGCCATTCCATGCCAGTCCTCTAGGTGGCAATAATGTGGATGACGGCGCCTTTTCATTTGCCTCAGCTCTGTCGCCAAGTAACCACATGTTTATTTGGAGCCGGATTCAAATTGAACATATGATCATAAAAATAGTGACTCTCAATCTTGAATTTCTGATGCACACTGGCAATTACAGGACAAAAGTCAACCCAGCCCAATTTGCATTGATGTTGAAAATGAATTTGAAACAACATTGAGTTTCTGACCCACTTCAGTTCTGAAATCAGTCCCTGTGAGGTGAAATTGAACCAGGACCACTTTGCATTCACACCATGGGTTGATTTGAAACAAGATTTGACTCTGGTTTCGGTTCACTTGCATTGCATAGAATAGCAACACATGATGAAAGTCAAACGGGTGCACTTTTCTTGTACATTGAATTGGATTTGAAACAGGTTCCAATTGTCTTTCTGAGCCACTTGAGGTGTGAGTGAATACAAGGTGGAAGTGAATCAGTCACTTTCTGCCCAGATGAAAATGCCTCCACGAGACTTTCCCACTGGCTTTTCGTGTTAACCTCCCTCTCACCCCCTTGAAATTCAAATCCTTCCCTGGCACTTTGGATTATCTTCAGGCCTGGGAAAATTGGAGAAATAGCCAGGAGGGGAAAAAAAAGTGCATCCATCAGCTTTGCGGGATCTATGAAATGATTAAGATGAAGGATTTTTTTTTTTTTTTACCCCACGAGCAGCAATTCCCAGGGGACGCTGTTGATCCAGCAACCCGACAGTTGGTTCTTTGAAAAATATTGGCATCGCCTGGCACGTTTTTTTCCCCCCCAATGAATCTGCTCATCTGTTGGTTTTTTTTGTTGTTGTTTTAGTTCACATGTTGTAATTGTCCCTTTTCCTTCTGTTATCCCGACCCCCTTCAACTCTCTTCTACCACCAACCCTCAGAAGACATGGTCAGAATCTGTCCTTAAACCAAAACCCAGGAATTTCCTTCATTCTTTCATACTCCCTAAAGGAAGGGATTAATTTTTTTTTTTTTAATATTGTGGACCCCCAGGTTAAAACGATTTATTGAATACTCCCAAATCACTGTACAGTAGACCCCCGTTATTTGTGAGGAAGAAGGACCAGGCTGGTCCGCGGACAGTGAAAATCCGCGTTTAACTGACTCGCCTTTGAAATGCATTGGGGGGGCAAACAACAAAAATTTGGGGAAAGAAAATCTGCGAATCTGCGTGTGCTGAACCCCCAGTACGCCGTCGTCCACTGAAGAGGAATTTTTATATGGTGTACAGTGGTACCTCTACTTATGAAATTAATTGGTTCTGGAAGAAATTTCTTAACTTGACAAGTTTGTAAGTAGAGACACATTTTCCATGTAAATGCCCTAATTCGTTCCAAGCCCCCCCAAAATTCAGACGTAAATGTTTCCTGAAGCATAAAAATGCATCAAAATATGAAACAAATACACGTTACAATTAGATTATTGCACAATAAATGAGAGTTGTGCATCATGTAAAAAAAACAAAGAATAAAGAATAAAAAGGGTGGTCATTTAACTTTTGAATGCGTCCTCATCGGTTTTTGCCCGAAAATGTCCAAGGCAAACATCAACATAGTGATCGATCGCCCGACTCGGGTGATTCACATTTACATAAAACTATCAGAACGTCTCATGGCCCGAGGGGTGAAAGACGCGGACGCTGCATAGACACACGTTTATCGATCTACATGCATAGACACATACGGTAAAGGTCCTTCTTAGCCAATGGGATGCCAGAATGATACTCGGTAGTAGCCAATGGCAGAGCAGCTACAAGTATGTTGCGTTCAGGAAATTCGGAGCTGTGAGTAGCAGCCCATACTGTATTTTGACCTTGTGTATCTTGAAATTTCTTTCGGAACCAGAGGCAATATTTTCCTGTTGAGGTGTTTCATAACTTGAAAATTACGTTCGTAAGTAGAGGTACCACTGTACTATCTCGTTAAGGCTCAGAGGGAGGGAAGGTTAGGGTTTGACGTTTGGGTTTCAAACCAAACTGGAGTCTGTGATGCGGCAAGTATGCCAATCCACAGAGGTTGAATCAAGGCAACTGGACATTTTTTTATTTTATTTATTTTTTTGCTTTGTGTCGTCGCCGTTGCATGACTTGTTAGTGAAACAACCGTCCTGCAGACCAATCAGTCGTTCACTCGGCTTGCGGTGAAACGGCTCCAGTTCGGGCCCCTTTTCCCATTGAATGTCAAATGGCAGTCGAGTTGAGTTTCAAAATCACTTCAACCTTCATTTGTCCAGGAGAACATCAAAATGAACCTCCGCTGTCCAAGTCAAATCCAAATGTTTTTTCTTTCTTCCCTCATGTCATAATGCTGCCTCTCCTTTTTGTTCTCCCAACCCCCTTGCAATCCTTTCTACTACCAAGACTCATGGCCGTGGAGGATGAGATACGAGGAGGACACGTCATTGAGCCAAAAACAACCAGGATTTTCCCAGATCAGGTCTGTGACATTCCGCCTTAAAACCACCTCTTCTTCTTCTGCTTCTCCTCGCTCCTCGTCCTTCTTCTTTCTCTTCTTTTTCTGATTTTCCCCAATGTGGGCTGCTCTTGTCCATTTTGAGCATGCGTGCTCTCTGGATTTGGGCTTTGTGCACTGGCGCTGTGGAGGTCCGTGGTGGTTTTGGTGGGCCCTGTGCTGTTTTCCTCCTTTTGCCGCCGAGCATGACTCCGCCAACGACTTCTTCGCACACTCTGCAACCGAGCGACGCTGACGCACGCGCACGTGGTGGTTCTCCATTGCCCCTGTTTCATTCGCCGCTTTCGTGACCCTTCTTCACTGTGGCTGTGTTGGGAATGATTCACTCCCTAACCTCGATGGGCCCGATTCGCACATTCTCACTTGACTTTTTTTAGGCCGCCTGGACGTGCGCACTTTCCATTTACGTGGATGAGCCCATCCAGGCTTCTGTTCTACACGCCTAATTTTTGAATGAATTTGGCCTTACCGAAGCGACATGATTCATTGAGAATGGAGGCTGTTTGGAAATCCTGGAGCATGAAGTTTTCCCAAGGCTGGTAAATGCTGTTGACATCCACAAAAAAGCGCACTTTAAAGAACCTGTAAAGTCTATTCTGAGATGAATTTGTCAATACATTCTCGATAATCGAAGATGGTTTGCTTAAAACTTACGAAAGACCGAGGACTCAAAGATATCATGTAAATCTGTTTTGCACCTTTTCTGATATCGATTTATTTGCTCTGGCGCAATTGGTGCATCAGAGGTCATCTGACACAATTGTGACGTGCGGTTAGCTAGCAAGCTATACCTACAGCCTCAAGTGCAACTTCCTTTTGGCTAGTTCAATATGGCTGCTTTAGAGTGCCTCGTTGTCACTTGTGAGTGCATGCAAGTCCCAGAGAAATAGTGGAAGCGTGAGGAGGAGGAATCCATCTTGACAGCCAGTGTGTTGACAGGGGCCTCGGGCTGATATGGCTGGTTTAGAGTGCCTCGTTGTTGCATTTACTTTCACTTAGCAGGGACATTAAATGTGAAAAGGCAGTCATTCAAAAGGCACCGTGCAGTCTTGTTTGGTCAGGGAGCGCTGAAGGCCGACTCCCACCAAAAGGCCACTATCCGGGCTGCAGTTGCTCAGGATGTCATTGCCATGGGGAGCAGTATACATACATTCACTGCCCTGGAGCATAAATGGAGAGACTTTGCACACCTGCCCAAGGCAGCATGATCATTTAACGAGGAAGAAGTAGAATCCACACTTGGATGTACTTGGAAAGGAGATACAAATGAAGGTAAGTAACCACGATAACTGCTGCTTGAGAGCATAGAATTTATCAAGGATTTAATAAAAACTGGAAACAGCATTTGTCAATAGAAGGATAAAAATTGGACCTGGACCTCTTTGTGTTCACATTGTGAGTTCATTTCATACGGGATCCAGTTCTATTTCTGGGTGACCTCAGTTGAAACAACGTCTTGCAGTCAAGGAAACCTGGGCACTTGATTTGAAACACGATCCTGTTTCATTTTAGTCCACCTCAGGTGCGAATGGCTTCTGAGTCAATATAACATAAAAGTCAACCTGGACAACTTTGCGTTCACATTTTGAGTTGATTTGAATCAAGATCCAGTTCAAGGTAAAAAGTGAAACAGGAAACAGAATACAGTTTTCCTTGCTGGTCTACTTCAGGTGTGAACGGTGCCTCTGTCACTACAACCATTTGATGTGATTTGTATCAGGATTCAGTTCCATTTCCGAGCCACTTTGGGAATGAATTCCAACTCAGTTCATGCGATGGAAGTATTGCACAAAAGTGAATTTGACTTGGTGAAAGTGAACGTGAACCACTTTTTGTTGACATTTTAAGTTAATAGGAAACATGATCCTGTTCCATTCTTGGCCACTTTAAATATGAATGGCTCCTCAGTGGACAGATTAGCAATACAAGGTGAAAGGCAACCTGGACAACTTTGCATTCACATTGTGAGTCTACTGAAACCAGGATCCAGTTCTGCTTCTGGTCTACTTCAGGTGTAAGTGGTGCCTTGGTCAGTACAAGGATGAATGTTCGCCTGGCCAATTTGGTGTCCCCATTTTGAATGAATTTCAAACAGGATCCGTTTTAATTTCTGGGACACCTCAGATGTAAACGGCAGCTCAGTTTGTACAGTGGAGATATCAAACTAGAGCGAATTCGGGCCGTTTTACCTTCACATTGAAAGTTGATTTGAAACGGGGATCCAGCACAAGGTGAACATGAACCTGAACCACTTTGTGTTTACCATAAAAGTCTATTTGAAACACGATCCTGTTCCGTGTTGGTCCACTTCTGGTGTGAATGGCTTCTCACTGGGCAAAATGAGCATACGAGATGAAAGTGAACTTCAACCACTTTGCATTCATATTCCGAGTTGATTTCAATCAGGATTGAGTTCAGTGTCATTCCTCCCATTTTCTGGCATTCTTTGTGTGGTGTCGTTTTGTTCTGGTTTAACGCGAAGCAAAGCATGTGGACCATAACTTTGGCCCTCCAACGATGGGCGCATGTTGCTGTTGCGCGCTGCATGAGATGTTGTGTTGCTTTCACCGCACTGATGATGTCATCTGCGTGTGTGTGTGTGTGTGTGTGTGTGTGTGTGTGTGTGTGTGTGTGTGTGTGTGTGTGTGTGTGTGTGTGTGTGTGTGTGTCTGTGTGTGTGTGGTGTTGCTGTTGTTGCGCCTTTCTCCTCTTCCTCAACCTCGTCCTCGTCCTCCTCGTATTTGATCCTCTTGTTGACGAGATACGGTGATTTCTCTTAGGGGAGGCGTCAGTCCATCCTAGTGCAGCCTCGTCTCGCCCCCGTCCCACCCCGAGTGTCCAGGTAATAACCCAAGCCGACAAACTCTCACCTGCTCTCTTTCTCTTTGTCTCTCTCTTTCTCGCTCGCTAACTTCATCATTCCCCTCGATTCTCAGTGTGTGTCCCTGTCGCTCAGTCACTCGCACACTTTCCATTTACCAGGCCATTCCCCTCTAAAAGTCACATCCTAGAAAATTCCGCAACGCAGTTTCACCAACAAGAAAAAAAAAATGTGTTGCAGACATGGGTGTCAAACTCAAGGCGTCTTTGGGGTCCCGATCTTGCCCTCTGCGTCATAAAAGCCTGCCACAGATTTCTAAATGTGACCATAAAAGTGGCAAGAAAGAGATTGAAGCATATTTTTTTGAAAAAAAAAATCTGTCAAACTGCCGCTTATTGAAGTGTCAAGTCACTTCATTTAAGTTCACCGCCACCATGAATTGCTCAAGCTTGCGCTTGCAAGTCAAAGCAAAAACGGCTCGTATATGGGCAAACTCCTACGTTGAGGCGCTCGTATCTCAAGGCACCGGTGTGCTGTCTGTCAACGATGAAATGAACTTTTGTTAATTGTCTCCGCTGTAATGCTCGAGTAGCGCCAAAACTAACATGCCAGTTGAACTTGATGTTGAGCTGACAAAGTTCAAATTCTCATTGCCATCTTCCTTCCCGCTCATCTCACTCACGCTGCCAAGTCAAACAAGGGAATCATGGGAAATCTCCGTATCCGACCTGAACCTTCCCTGGAGAACACGGATGGATGTGCACACCTTTTCTTGCGTCTTCTATACGTGTCCTATTGACATCATTTTTATGTGTGTGTGTGTTGTGTGCATGCGTGCGTGCGTGCGTGCGTGTGTGTGTGTGTGTGCGTGTGTGTGTGTGTGTGCGTGTGTGTGTGTGTGTGCGTGTGTGTGTGTGTGTGCGTGTGTGTGTGTGTGTGCGTGTGTGTGTGTGTGTGCGTGTGTGTTGGGTGGTCACGTGACCTATTTGTGTTGTCTTTTTGTACTTTTCTAGTCGTATAAAAACAATTTTGTGCTAATAAACAAAGAATGGGCACACCGCCCTGCCCTACCTTCCCCCCACCCCCTCTTCCCCGCAGAGTGTGAAGTTAACATGGGTAAGTTTTGTTTTGTTGTTGTTTTTCCCCCTCCGGCGGGATGTTCCGTAAACATTCCAAGCGAGCCGGCGAGCGGGCGGGTGTACGTCGTGTCTTTGTCCAGCTGCTTGGCGCCTCGCCTTTAATACACATGTGTGCGCCACCTCCGAACACACATTGTGCATTAAAAGCGCTATTTGTTGTGTTGACCAAAAACGGTTTGTGTGGTTCTGATTGAGAAGGGAAAGTTTTTATTTTTTAATTTTTGCATTGAGTTGCTCTCGTTTTTGTTGTTGTCGAAGGCAACCTGACACGCGCACACGCACCCACACTCCATCAGATGATTTACTGTGATGCTTGTCCTTCTCTCCGCTGTACGCAAAACCACCCCACCCCGACCCCAACCCCACATCTATTGACAGTTCTGTCTTGTTGGACACCTCCTCGTCCTCCCCCCCCCTCTCCCACCATCTGCTGTGTATCAGAAGCAATCCTGAAGCCGCCTTCAAGTACTTTTCTGTCTTCCTCTAAACGACCACCACCACATTTTTTTTTTAAAAATGACGGTGAATATATCTTCCAGAGAGAAATACGTCTGATTTATTGACACGTACAAGGCCTGAACTCTTAATGTGGGATGTAGCGGATAAAGAAAAAGTCTACACACCCCTGTTGAAACGCCAGGTTCTTGTGACTTTAAAAAAATGAGATCAAGATCAATCATTTCAAATGCTTTCTGCACTTAAATTCGATTGAAGGTCCCTTAAACGCACTTTTAAAAGAATACAAAAACATTTAAAAACGCAATATATTGATGAAGAGTGAAAGTGATGGATGGAAGTCCAAACCATTTTTTTAAAAAGTAGAGGAAAAACTGGAATAACTCAGAAAACAAAACAAAACAAAAAAATCTGCAATCTTCAGGGACCGTGAAACAGAACCACGAGAGAACGCCGGGTTTACTGTTTGTGGATTAAGAATGCAACTAAACCAATCATCAATCTCCATTCATCTTGGGGACCCGCCACATTGGGCAATATTCGCCTTAGCGAGCTACTCCGACGAACATCAAAAGTGTCACGTGACCGAAAGAGGCCAGCCGACTCCCAGTGTACACAGCACCTGCGATAACCGGCACAACTGCGGTATGATCGCATGACAGTTTGAACAACATTTGAGCAAGTTCAGGGTCAAACGATCATCTCATCAACCTGCAGGAAAAAAAAAACGAGAGGGGCCATGATTGGAGTTCAAAGTACAAAAAAAAAAAAAAGTCAAGTTTTAATTAACCCTCTCATGCACAAATAATGATAACCTGCAACCTGATGACCTCACAAGCTGTTCACTGTAGTAACCGCTGTCTCCGAAAAGGTTAAAAAAATGGAGGGACGGGGGGGAGGTTCACAAATATAATTCAATTCAATTTGATTAGAAAAGAAAAAATAATTACATAATCAACTCAAGGAACTAGACAGACTAGATAATAATAATCATCATAATAATAATAATAATAATAATAAAAACATAAAGAAATGCATTTCAATTTAAAAAGTACAATTTTTTTGTGGGATGAGAGGCTCAAGTGGGGCATAATAATTGTTGGTTGTGCGTGTTTGGTTTTTTTTTTTCCTTGACCAGTTGCAATGCTGTGTTGCTGTGGGTGTTGTTCCCCATCCATCAGCATTTGTAACTCCTTTTCTCTCCTCTTTCTCTCTTTCTGTTTTTCACTTTCTCTCTCTCTCTCTCTCTCTCACTCTCTCTCTCTTTCTCTCTCTCTCTCTCTCGTCCTGTCTGCTTGTTTGCGACCCCTCGATGGCTCCCCTTTGACTTTCCGCTCCTCCGTCCTTTCGTCCTTGCTCCCCGTGCGCTCCGCCTGCTCGCCTCCCTCTCATCGGTCATTGAATGGCTTCTTCTTCTTCTATACGTCCACCCTCCCATACCCCCCGCCCCCACACCCGCCTCGCCCCCCCCCTCCTCTGTCTATCTGGCTAGGAGAACCAGCTTTCCTCCTTGGGTTCAGCAGACCCCGGTGTGAAAAGCCTTGAAGAAGAAGAAGGAGGAGGAGGAAGCGGCCCTCAACACCTCCTCGCCGTCACGTCTTCTTCTTCTTCTTCTCGCGACCTCCCTCCCTAGTTCCCAACGAGAGCTCCATGGCGACCGGACCACCTGGCATGGCCCCGGTGGTGGTCTCAGGGGGGTTAAACACAACACTGAGAGAGAGAGAGAGATCAAAAAGAGAGAGATGCTTTGAAAGGGGTTTTTACACACACACACACACACACACACACACACACACACACAAAACAAAGGGCTTTCTTCAACTTTGCGCTCTTGCCGGACAAGATAGCGACACACGCACGCACGCACGCACGCACGCACACACGCACACACACACACACACACACACACACACACACACACACACACACACACACACACACACACACACAGACCTTTCCCTGCAGGAGGTCTTGCACCCCTCGAATGGTCCACGGTGCCTTGGGCTTTTCCAGTAAGATCCCCAAAAATCGCCCCGCCCCCTTGTATGTTTGATTGACAGCTGGCTGACGGGTGTTGCTTTTTCCGAGCATTTTCTCTTCTCATTATCAGAACCCAAACTGGTGCTAAACAACAAATGGTGCAATTGGCGTGTGTGTGTGTGTGTGTGTGTGTGTGTGTGTGTGTGTGTGTGTGTGTGTGTGTGTGTGTGTGTGTGTGTGTGTGTGTGTGTGTGTGTATGTGACTGGCCCACTGTCCTCTGTGTGCTTTTTGTTTCATTACGGTGTCTTTGTGAATCCAGTTGTGTCAAATGTGTCTTGTTTGCCTTCCCCCCAAAATCTGCTTTATTTGTCCATTTAGTTTAACTTTGGCCAGTACTGGCCCAAGTCTTTAGGGGGCGCTAAGCAGAATTTTATTTCATACCAGCATGGCGTCACCTCACCAACCTGGCAAAAATCCAGTCGTTTACACTCAATGATAATCATTGATAACGGGGCTGTCATTGACAATATGGTGCCAAAGCACTACTTTGATGGTCGCTAGTGTTACGGCTTGACTAAATGAGATTCCTCAACTTAGTTCAACTTAGTTAATTGGAAACAATATGGCAGCAAAGCCTTGCTTTTATGCTGGACAGTGCTATTGTCTGTTCTGAAATTAGCCAAGTTCTTTGGCAACGTGAACTCGGCAGAGCACTACTTTTATACGGTTTTAGACAGTGCTACAGCCAGATTAAATGAAGCTCCTCACCTCAACATAGTTCCTTGGCATCAAGATGCAACAAGATGGTGCCAATGCACTACTTTTATAATAGACAGTGTTAATGTTTGACTAAATAACGCTCCTCTCCTTCCCGCAACATACATTAGGTACAATAGTTCCTTGACACCAAGATACCATAAGATGGCACCAGAGGCACTACTTTTATATTAGACGGGGCTTTGGCCTGAGCACCAAACAGCAAATATTGAAGGGTAGATTCCCTCCAAAAAAGAAACTCTCAATTACACACGGAAACACTTTCTAGGATATTGATGTCATCTTTTTCATTTATTTAATTAAGGTTAACGTGTTACAAAGATTCTCATGCTTTTTGGGACGCTTTGTTTTTGTTCAAAAGCAACATTATCAGCTGCAACTTGAATTGGCTTGAATGCCCCCCCCCCCAAAAAAAAGGGATGAAAACTGCTTTTTTTCTGTCTTGTTTCAGTCATGTTACTTGTTGGTCTTGTGGTTGACTTGTTGTTTATAGCTTCACACTCTAGGGGGCGCTCCAGTTAATGGGGGTGGACGCATGCATAACACTACATCGGCGCTAGGGGGTGCTACATCCCCATCTAAAATGGGTGTCGCCCCTGTTCACCCACCCCAACAATTTATTTTTAATATTTATTTACTTTCTAAGTTTAAAAACATTGAAATGTTCACAAGTGGCCATTCTATTCGAGTACAATTCTTGTTCCGGTGCAGATGTACCTTGTGTGTGTTAGTGAGGGCAGGGAGGGGCAGAGTGAGTCTTTCAGTTACTGGCGCGTTAGCTAAGAGTTCGTCAAAAATTCTTACTGCACATTGGCAGCTTCACGCTCGTGGTGTGTAGTGTACTTTTTTTTAAAATGAGAAAACCTCTCAAGTAAATTTAGTCATGAAAATCGATTTTTTTCCCTGCTCCCCCGCATATCGGTCAAGCCCCCCCCCCTCCCCCCC